TGGTTTTCTTGTTTAATGTTTTCGATCGTGCTTTCAACAAGAAACTGCTTGTATGGTGACAGTTCAGACTCTTCTGATCACTTTGATTTTTTCTTCACGGTGAGGGGGTAACTTCATGATCATAGAGAAGCTGACATATTGCGGTGACGATAGTTGACCTTGGTCTACCACAGGTGGGTCTTTGGGGCAGGTGGTGAATTTCTGAACTCTAAGGGAAAGGTAGTATTGGTGCTGTTTCTTCAATCAGAGATGATAATTCTCTGGATTGAGCTTCCAAAGATGACGGTTACTCATGACTTGCACTCTGTATTGCCATGTTCCAGTCTTCGAAGGGACAACTTAAGGTGGCGCTTAAGAAATCCAGCAACAAAGTCCCGACTAGCCATTTTATTGTCAGAATTAAAATCGTTCCTTTGACAATAGTCATACACAAAGGTCCTATGTCATTGATGGAAAGAATGTGTGCTCTTCAAGCTAATTCTCTTGATCATGTGACAGAATAGCATGATACCGCTTCTCTCGTCCGTAGACAAATTTTTCAGTTGATAAATTTTTTAAATTTCAAATTGAACAAACACATTTTAATTTTTAAACAACTTTTGATTGTTACTCGGTAACTTAGAAGTAATTTTATAAGGCTTATACCCCACACCTGACGTCATCAAAACCATAGTTAATGAGGTTAAGAATTAATCCAAGATGGCGGGCAGTTCATTGCTTCCAGTCAAAATTTTGCAAATATCGCTTAATATGAAAATTTTGTAACAAATGTTAGAGATAATTTTAAATATCCTTTCAAAAGGGGACAATAACATTTTTTGTTACCATTGTCATTTAACTTTCGAAGAGAATAATATGTTTCTGTTTATTTATACATTCATTCATTCAAAATTTATCTATGGATAATATTTCACCTTTGACGCTATGATTTAGGGAATCCTTAGGAACTCAGCAGAAGACAACAGCAGCTTTTCTTATGAACAGCTCTTTTCTCAACGGCCAAGATAGCAAGCTTCATCTGCTCCTCTGACCAATTTGCATGATCAGTCTTCCTTAAGTAGTTTCTAAAGAATCATAGACCAATTGCGAAACTTAGTGACCGCGCCTTCAACTGCACGAAAACGAGGCTTATTATGCAAAAACAAATCATTCTGCTATATTTTTATATGGCGAAAAATGAATTTCAGTGTTTGAGACGCGTTTTTATGGTAATCTCTTCATTTTTTTCAATATTTTTGTTTTGACTATGTAAATCTTTATTAAATTTGTTCATAGATTTAGTCTTACTTCAAATTTCATTGTTTTTTGCGGCGTGCGAGGCAAAGTTTTGCTGTTTTTCGCCGTCCGATAAAAGAAGCAGATTATACCAGAGAAAGAATCAGGTATTTTCCGTCTGTTTTATTAGTACTTTTCAAAGAATAAGTTGTAACATTGATTAATTTTGTTTCAGTTGTAATATAATAGCAAGTTTTCGATTTTAACTTTAAAAATATGAAAGTAAATCTCGGGCAAAATTTGTAGAAATTTTATGTTATTATCCTTTGACAAAATCGTTTTTTCTCGCACGAAGTCTAAAAAAATCTGGGTAGAAAGAGTTAGGCTATATTTTAGTTTGTTAAGTTATACTGGCTATTTTATTTGCATCTTGATCAGATTTTAAAGTCTAGATTGATCTTTTCCATATGTTTGTCCCATCGCATGCTAAAACAACAACGAAATATCTCTCCAAAGCGGGTAAAAATATAGTGGCCAATCGATGTTTAGATAAATTTAACAAATATTTATATAACCTAGCACGAAATATTAAGAAAAGATCAAAGGGATTAAAGAAAAAACACTTTAAAAACCCTAAAATTCACTTTTCGCTATGTAAAAATATAGAAATTGTTTTGTTTTTGCATCATAAGCCTCGTTCTCGTGCAGTATGAAGGCGCAGCCACTAAGTTTCGCAATTGGTCTATGCATTCTAAAAAAATATTTAGTCATCTCGTCAACTGATAACCAGACAGAAACGACTGTCAATTTGACAGTAAACCCAAAACTACAATAAACACAGACTATTTTATGAATTGACATGACAAATACATGGAAAATCTTTATTTAATATAACCTAGGGTAGAAAGATGGTCATAAAGACATTCACTGCGTTGAAACACCACTTTTGGGACTAATACACATGCTGTAAAATAAATCTATAAAGAAATGCCTGAAATGGTATCATAAAATACACTTAAATACTATAATATATACAGGGTGTATCAAAAAAAAGGAGACCTTTACTCTTTAGAAATCAAGCATATTGTTAAAATTTGAATGCCTTTTCAATTGCACATAGTGCGTGAAATATTGATGGAGTGCATATATTAGAAAAAGGAGACCTTTAGAATTTGAAATAACGTTTAAACAAAAGATTGTCTGCTCCTGGGATCAATCTGCTATGTGCTTAGCAAAGTGCTCCAGGATTCAAATTATAACAATGGTTGATTTCTAAAGGTCTCCTTTTTCTAATATATGCACTCATCAATATTTCAAGCACCACAGTTCAGCATATGTGCAATTGAAATGGCATTCAAATTTTAACAATATGCTTGATTTCTAAAGGTCTCCTTTTTTTTTATACACCCTGTAGATTACAACATTGAACATTACAACAGATACACAGAAGCAAACAAAAATGTATAATCTTACAAGGAAATATATCTGTCTCATTTTAATAACCGCACAGCATTTGAGTAAATTCAAAGGCCCAAAATCATAAAAATTAACGCGATCATGAACAAAATACTCGCAAAATACACTCATAACATGAAAGGCCTTGTGCTAATGTATACTAAACAAATGAGGTTTATTTCTTAGCTGCGATGTTTTAGACAGAATAAAAAACTAAAGAAATAGGCTGAGTAATAACATACCTCAATTTCGCGACGTCGACTTCGGTTTCATGCACAAAATTTAAGATTTTTCGCTGGGAAATGCAGCTTCGAGTCTCAGAACACGTTGAATTTATATTTTATACTTCGCGGGTTTAAGTATGAGCCCGCAATGCTTGTGATCAAAATAGAGCGGTAATACGCCGAGGGCTGGTATATACTTCGTGTTCTTCGTGGTCCGAATTACGCTAGTACCTCCTGCAGAAACATATAAAAACATTCGCACATTGCATTCTTTTAATCCGTACACGGGGGGGGGGGGTGCAGCGGGGGTCGGACCTTGGAAATTCCAGGAATGGGGGCAGGTTTTTTCGTCTGGAAATTCCAGGCAAGGGGGATGCCATCTCCCAAATGGCTCGGAAATTCCATGGGAGGGAGTTTTTATAATGCATTTCCAAGAAATTCCAAAGACCCCCATGAAAAACTTTGTTTCTGGAAATTCCAAAGGAGCGTCTAAAATTTGGAAATTCGAAGGTTCTCACCCCCCCCCCCATGTACAGATTAAAAATACAGTGTAACATTTAAAGATCAGGTTCCACGAGTTTGAAATAAGCTAACTCTTACAATACAATACAATACAATACAATACAATACAATACAATACAATACAATACAATACAATTTAAACCAAGCCCGTAGCTGGCTATCAATTTCTGGGGGGGCACTCACTGCAGAAAGAATGTAACAGACGGTTTGAGATGAGAAAAAGTTTTCTCCGGAATTTATTTTAAGAAAATTTTTTCCGGACATACCAATTTTTTCCGCACATACAAAATTTTTCCGAAACTTAACAACATTTTTCACAAAATTTACAGAATTTTTTCCATGATTACAATTGGTTTCCAGGTCCTTTATCTCAATTTTTCATACCAAATTTCGGAGTGGGGGGGCACTGGGGCCCCCCCCCCCCAGCTACGGGTCTGATTTAAACACGATACAGTCTTAGTAATAGACCTTGCCGATTATTCTTTTACCCAATAGCCTCGTTTCCATGTTAACTTATTTTAGCATGTCAGGGGCAGATAAAGATTATATTCCCATGTTTTCCTGGGCGAGGTTGTTTCTTGCTGTTCTTCGGCTCAACAACAAAGTAATTTGCAACCTTACTAAGCACAAAACACGAGTAAGTATTTGGCACGAAAACGAGGCCATTGGGCGAAAAGTGAATACAAATAAGATAAATATAAAAATAGCAAATTAATCTAGATACTGGTTTACAAGATTGCCGTGTGGGAGTCGGTTTAAGTTTACTGCTTTATTGAACTGAGAGAACGATTTAAGCTTTCGTATGTTTCTGGGGAGAGTATTCCACAATACTGCTCCGCTATAACAAAAGCTTCGTTTTGAGTAATTTGTTCGCGGATTGGGCAAGTTTAATTTCATTTCAGAATTTCGTATATTATAGTCCAAGCCACGAACAGAAAAATAAGCTTTGTAGATAGGTGGGCAAATTTCCATTTAAGCTAATTCCGCAGTAATTGTTCCCGAAATGAGAATGTGCTGAAACTTGCCTAGAATGGAGTTTATGATATACTTAAAGTAAAATCACACAAGCTAGCATGCTAGCTTTTGTTCAAATGCATTTGTCACAATAAATTCGTCACAAATTGATCATCTACACGAGCAAAATATCTTTGACTCATACGAAATTTGCCAAATAAAATTTGTTCGTGTAAACGGGGCTTAATAATGAACCCATTAAGTTGCATTGCACCCTAATTTATTATGTTACTTTGTCTAACACTGACAATTTTACTCCTCAACAGAAGACGGCTGGCGCTCAATGGGAATGGGTTATTGCATATAAATAATGTCTAACTGAACAGTTGGGTTGGGCTCTACTCTACAGTAAATTTCCCTGTAATCGGAGCCTGGGATATGTGGCTCAATATATCTTCAAATTGTGTTCTAATGATACTGTCACTATTTTATAAGTATAATGGACATTTCTCATTTAGGGTGATGTAAGTCATGGACAAGAAATTAATACAAGTTTGTTCGAATGTTCAAATAATAATAATAATAATAATAATAATAATGATTTAATATCATTTCCACATAGTGGTTCTTCTATGCTACAAGTGAGTTTGATTATAAGATAACAAAGTATACAATACATACAACGGAGTACATAATACGACACAACAAGTATTACAATACGTAGTATGTTGTACATTACAGTATTTAACAATTGACATTACTTATACACAGTAAAATACAGTATAGTTATACACACAATGTTAACAGAGTTTACGACCTGTCACTAATTCTGTTTCTGACTAATGTTTTGAAGTACTCGGAGGAGTTTTTGCAATAATCTTTAAATGTATCGCAGTTTCGAATTTCTTCAGGTAAAGAATTGAACACTCAAGCTGTTTCATCTTGGAAGGTTCCAGAGATAATAGGGACTACTAGACGCCGGGCAGATGATGATCGTAATGGTCTTATAGGAATATATTCTTCTAATTTTAAGTATGAAGGCCAGTCATCACAATTCATTGCTTTGTATGCTAATTTGGCAAGATGATAATTCCTACGTTCCAAAATTGGAAGCCAACCGAGAGACATAACATCAGTGAATCTAGCGTACAAGAGTAGTGGTGCACTAGCACTCGCCAGACCTAACTGGCAGAACTAACAATGACATTTCTCTATAACTTTGTGGGAATGTTTTATATGTACTACAAGAAATGGTCGAAGGCATCAAAACGTGGGAACAGCCAAAGAATAGCCTATGGAGGTACAAAAGTTAAAACAATACTCTATTACATGTAACTTAATTGTACAGTTATGTTTAATAATTATTAACTTGATAATTATTCTTTGACCAAGTTTAATTAAAGTGATACAAAATTAATCAAGATTTTGCGTCTTTAATTTTCAAACATGTTGCGTGGTACTGAGTTTCATTAACAGTAACAACAGTGGTATGGACTCATGCATTGTCAGAAGATTCTGCATCTCTATTGTTCTGGCAATATTAGTCATAACCAATTATGTTGTTTTCACTTTATTTTGATCAAGTCAGTCCGGTTATTTGATCAAGTCGTATATGTTTTTATACAATATATTTTCACACAACAGAGCATTATATGTGCATCAAATTAGGATTTCCATCAATGTTGGGATTGATTATATTATATTAGCCAATTTTCTGTGACCTCCTTTTGATTTTAGAATAGCTTTAATTCTTCCTGGCACAGTTCAACAAGTATTCGGACTGACTTGATCAAACAACGGACTGACTTGATCCTGTTCTTATACAATATATTTTCACACAACAGAGCATTATATGTGCATCAAATTAGGATTTCCATCAATGTTGGGATTGATTATATTATATTAGCCAATTTTCTGTGACCTCCTTTTGATTTTAGAATAGCTTTAATTCTTCCTGGCACAGTTCAACAAGTATTCGGACTGACTTGATCAAACAACGGACTGACTTGATCCTGTTCTTATACAATATATTTTCACACAACAGAGCATTATATGTGCATCAAATTAGGATTTCCATCAATGTTGGGATTGATTATATTATATTAGCCAATTTTCTGTGACCTCCTTTTGATTTTAGAATAGCTTTAATTCTTCCTGGCACAGTTCAACAAGTATTCGGACTGACTTGATCAAACAACGGACTGACTTGATCCTGTTCTTATACAATATATTTTCACACAACAGAGCATTATATGTGCATCAAATTAGGATTTCCATCAATGTTGGGATTGATTATATTATATTAGCCAATTTTCTGTGACCTCCTTTTGATTTTAGAATAGCTTTAATTCTTCCTGGCATAGTTCAACAAGTGTTCGAACTGACCTGAAAACAACGGCCTTTCTTGTTCGGTTTTCACTTTATTTTGATCAAGTCAGTCCACACTATATCGATAGTTTTTGACTCAGATTGTTTCTGAATTATCGTGCTGACACTAACGCGGATGAAACATCTGTATTTTTAGGTGTGTGCACGTCACTGGCGAAGGTATTTCGACCTACATACGTAAAAATCTCACAACTTGTCAACAATTAAGATGTGTTCGCAACAGGCTTGTAGCAAGCTTGTCAACAAGTTGTAACAATGCTGTTATTTTATCAAGTTGCCACAAGGTTGTCACTCACAACTTGTTGACAAATTGTTGAATTGCGGGACGATAACAAACTTAATGTAACAAGTCTGTTGAACTCAACAACCTTTTAGCAAGTTGTCAACAAGCTGGGAACAAGCAGTGCGAACACGTCCTGTTGACAAGTTGTTGGAACAGCATTGCTAGCCTACAAGTCTGCTGATATGGTAATATGTCAAATATGTCAATGATATGGTAATATGTCAAATATGTCAGATGATTTGTAATCATAATGTTGTGCCTGGATTACAAATGTTCGGATATATTTGTTTCTATATATATATATATATATATATATATATATATATATATATATATATATATATATATATATATATATATATATAGTACAATTTCTAGTTTTACTTCGGCAATGTGGGCTTCTCATTTTTTGATTACATATAAATGTCGCCTCTCTCGTCCATTTCAATTGACTCCGCGTAATTCTAGAAAAAGAAGTAAGAATCAATTTTAATAATACACAATAATATGATAACATGAAAAAATAAAAATAATAATAATAATAATAATAAAGAACTTTATTAATATAACTTGTTCCTAGATACTGCATATATACAATTAATACACTATATATAATTAATACAATATATACTACTTAGCCTAAATCACATGCATATATAGCTAGCTAGATAAGATTATACATAAGAATTGTTATTTATGCGAATTGTTATTTATAAGAAGCAAATTGTTTAATAAATGTTCGTTAGGTCCGGGTTCGCCTATTCTTTGTTTCTACAACCGAGAATACAAATATGTTGATTGGATAGCAATGGATATAATTTTTCTGATACAATATTGTTTGTGTTGTTTACCAAGTCCCATCACAGGAGGCCCAGGCTCGATTTGCCCGCGCCCGCCTGTGCCTTCCTTATAACGAAGGAAGGAAGGAAACATTGAGACCAAAATAGCCCACACTTGGCATATGTCACACGAAACTATCCTCGATTTTTCGCCTTTAATGCATTTCTTTCACGATTAATCGATATCCCCTGCAAGAATGATACCGTATAACTCTCAAAACAACGATGCTTTAATCAAAGAGCTTAAATTCGCTCTGAAATGCGTGAGAGAATAACAAAATTCGGCCAAAATATATTCGCGTGCCGGGTTTGCTGGACAAAAAGCGGAAGTCGTTGAACAACTCAAAATACACTCAACCCTGATTGGACAACGAAAATCAACAAACATTTCAAATTTTCAGTAGTCAGTAATTAATATAAATTTGAATCAAAACAATTAACAAATGTTGTCGGGGGAAAACCAGTGTAAATCTAATTATTTAAATTTAA